TGCGGGCGAGGCCGATCCGGGTGGGCGGGGCTGCCGGGCGCAGGGGATAAAAGTCCTCCCCGCGGTCCGGGCTCAGCTCCCTCCGTCCTTCTCGCGAACAGCCTCCCGAGCCCCTCCCTCCTCCCGCCGCCAGCATGGTTCACTGGACCGCCGAAGAGAAGCAGCTGATCACCTCCCTCTGGAGCAAGGTGGACGTGGCCGAAATCGGCGGCGCCACCCTGGCCAAGTAAGAGCGCCGGGCCGCGCCGGGTGTGGGGGGCGGAGGGCAGGCCCCGCGGGGACCCCCGTGCCCATCTCCTCCTCCTCTTCCTCCTCCTCCCTCTCTCCCGGCAGGCTGCTGGTGGTGTACCCCTGGACCCAGCGGTTCTTCGCCCACTTCGGGAACCTCTCCGGCGCCAGCGCCATCTGCGGCAACCCCCAGGTCAAGGCCCACGGGAAGAAGGTGCTGACCGCCTTCGCGGAGGCCATCAAGCACCTGGACAACGTCAAGGAGACCTTCGCCAAGCTGAGCGAGCTGCACTGTGATAAGCTGCACGTGGACCCCGAGAACTTCAAGGTGAGGCGGTACCCCTCCCTCCCTCCCTCCCTCCCTCCGGGGCTGGGCAGGGGGGGGGTCTGCTGGGCCGGGCAGCCTTTTCCGCCCCCCCCCGTCCTACCTGAGAGCTCCGGAGGTGGCTGGTGCTGAAAGGATAGCAACGGAGCCCTGTGTTTCAGCAGGAAGGAGCCGAAGGGGAGGGACAGGTGTCCAGACACAGGGCTGGCCCGGGACAGGTGGACAATTGGCTTCCTGGCCTTTTGGGGGTGGGGGGGAGTGTCAGGGCAGGGGGGGGGCGACAGAGACACCAGCAAAGGCTCCTCCTGCAGCAGCCTTTAGTATCCCTCCCTTCTCTTCCAGCTTCTGGGCAATATCCTCATTATCGTCCTGGCCGGCCACCATGGAAAAGAGTTCACCCCCTGCTGCCACGCTGCCTTCCAGAAGCTGACCGGTGTGGTGGCCCACGCCTTGTCCCACCGGTACCACTAGACCTCTGGCTGGGCATAGCAGCCGCCTGCCCCCCTCGCCACATCCGGAGCCCCTCCTAGCCCACCGATGATGCAATAAAAGCCCTCTTCAGAACAAGCCGAGTGGGGGTCTTTCTGGTCCTGGAAGGGAGAATGGGGGGTGGGGTGGGTGGGAGTCCTGCTGGGTCACCCCAAAACCCCACTCCTCACCCCGACGAAGCACAGCAGAGGGCCAGAGGGGGCGGAAAATAGGGTTTGGTTGGGGTGAAGTTGGGCTGTTTGCCAGCCTGCTCAGAGGGAGCCATCCTCCCTTTGCTGGGGGTGGGGGGGCTGTCTCTAGCGCCCCCCCTCTTCCCTCTCAGGATTGGTTGGTAAGGAAATAGGAAACTGGGGTGGGGGTGTTGGGGGAAGGCTTATTCAGAAGCCAATCATCTTTCACACACAAACCTCACTCGGTCCCTGAATTAACTTTTGCAAGGGGGGGGAGAGAAGCCCCCAATACATTGACACAACCTGCTAAGTTTTCATTGCCCCCCCCCCCCTTTCACCTCCCAATATTCACCAGATGCAGCTTCTGCGTGCCTGGGTGACCCCCTTCAGGACAAGCTCTGAAGAGGCTGGCACAAGAGCTGATGGAGGGGCTGCGGGGGGGGAGGGGGGAGATCAGGCTTCTTAGCCGCCCTGCCCTGCCCATGTCCAGCAGGTAAATAAGCAGGTCG